AATGAAGCTGCACATTTAGCATTGATTCACAGAAATGAACTGTATTTAAAATATACCACAAAATTAAACCACTATTAAATTGTACTGTTCTACTATACTATACCATAGTTTACTATAATGTAGTTTACTATAATGTAGTTTACTATACTATAGTTTACTATACTGTGCTCTACTATACTATACTGTAGTTTACTATACCGTAGTTTACTTTACATTGCTATACTATACTATACTGTAGTTTACTTTACTCTAGTTTACTATACTGTGCTTTACTATACTATAGTTTACTATACTATTTTTACTATACTGTGCTCTACTATACTATACTGTAGTTTACTATACCGTAGTTTACTTTACATTGCTCTACTATACCGTAGTTTACTATACTTTAGTTTACTATACTGTGCTTTACTATACTATAGTTTACTATACTATTTTTACTATACTGTGCTCTACTATACTATACTGTAGTTTACTATACCGTAGTTTACTTTACATTGCTATACTATACTATACTGTAGTTTACTTTACTCTAGTTTACTATACTGTGCTTTACTATACTATAGTTTACTATACTATTTTTACTATACTGTGCTCTACTATACTATACTGTAGTTTACCATACCGTAGTTTACTTTACATTGCTATACTATACCGTAGTTTACTATACTTTAGTTTACTATACCGTAGTTTACATTGCTATACTATACTATACTGTATTTTACTATACTCTAGTTTACTATACTGTGCTTTGCTATACTATACTGTGATTTACTATACTATACTGTAGCTTGCTATACTATACTGTAGTTTACCATACTGTAGTTTACTATACATTGCTATACCATACTCTAGCTTACTAAACTATACTATATTGTAGTTTACTAAAGTTTACTATAATGCTATACTATACTATACTGTAGCTTACTATACTATACTATACTGTACTGTACTGTAGTTTACTATAGTTTACTATACTCTACCATACTGTAGTTTGCTACACTGTAGTTTATTATACCATACTGTAGTTTACTATATTATAGCTTACTGTACTATACCGTAATGTAGTTTACTATACTGTAGTTTACTGTACTATACCATACTGTAGTTTACTATACTGTTGGTTACTACGCTGTAGTCTATTATACTGTACTTTACTATACTGTTGGTTACTACGCTGTGGTTTACTATACTGTAGTTTACTATATTGTCGTTTACTACACTGTAGTTCATTATACTGTAGTTTACTATACTGTAGTTTACTATGCTGTCGTTTACTACAATGTAGTTTATTATACTGTAGTTTACTATATTGTCGTTTACTACACTGTAGTTTATTATACTGTAGTTTACTATACTGTAGTTTACTATGCTGGCGTTTACTACAATGTAGTTTATTATACTGTAGTTTACTATACTGTTGTTTACTACACTGTAGTTTATTATACTGTAGTTTACTATACTGTCGTTTACTACACTGTAGTTTATTATACTGTAGTTTACTATACTGTTGTTTACTACACTGTAGTTTATCATACTGTAGTTTACTATGCTGTCGTTTACTACACTGTAGTTTATTATACTGTAGTTTACTATACTGTTGTTTACTACACTGTAGTTTATCATACTGTAGTTTACTATGCTGTCGTTTACTACACTGTAGTTTATTATACTGTAGTTTACTATACTGTTGTTTACTACACTGTAGTTTATTATACTGTAGTTTACTATGCTGTCGTTTACTACACTGTAGTTTATTATACTGTAGTTTACTATGCTGTCGTTTACTACAATGTAGTTTACTATACTGTTGTTTACTACACTGTAGTTTATAATACTGTAGTTTACTATACTGTCGTTTACAACACTGTAGTTTATTATACTGTAGTTTACTATGCTGTTGTTTACTACACTGTAGTTTATTATACTGTAGTTTACTATACTGTCGTTTACTATACTGTCGTTTACTACACTGTAGTTTATTATACTGTAGTTTACTATGCTGTTGTTTACTACAATGTAGTTTACTATACTGTTGTTTACTACACTGTAGTTTATTATACTGTAGTTTACTATACTGTCGTTTACTACACTGTAGTTTATTAGACTGTAGTTTACTATGCTGTTGTTTACTACACTGTAGTTTATTATACTGTAGTTTACTATACTGTCGTTTACTATACTGTCGTTTACTAGACTGTAGTTTATTATACTGTAGTTTACTATGCTGTTGTTTACTACAATGTAGTTTACTATACTGTTGTTTACTACACTGTAGTTTATTATACTGTAGTTTACTATACTGTCGTTTACTACACTGTAGTTTATTATACTGAAGTTTACTATGCTGTTGTTTACTACACTGTAGTTTATTATACTGTCGTTTACTATACTGTCGTTTACTATACTGTCGTTTACTACACTGTAGTTTATTATACTGTCGTTTACTATACTGTCGTTTACTATACTGTTGTTTACTACACTGTAGTTTATTATACTGTCGTTTACTATACTGTCGTTTACTACACTGTAGTTTATTATACTGTCGTTTACTATACTGTCGTTTACTATACTGTTGTTTACTACACTGTAGTTTATTATACTGTCGTTTACTATACTGTCGTTTACTACACTGTAGTTTATTATACTGTAGTTTACTATGCTGTCGTTTACTACAATGTAGTTTACTATACTTTTGTTTACTACACTGTAGTTTATTATACTGTAGTTTACTATACTGTCGTTTACTACAATGTAGTTTACTATACTTTTGTTTACTACACTGTAGTTTATTATACTGTAGTTTACTATACTGTCGTTTACTACACTGTAGTTTATTATACTGTCGTTTACTATACTGTCGTTTACTATACTGTCGTTTACTACACTGTAGTTTATTATACTGTAGTTTACTATACTATACCAAACTACAAAAAAAAAAAAAAAACGCATGTTTTTGAGACATGCTCAAAATTTGCCCTGCATCTAGATTTACTTTTAATAAAGAGCTAGCAAATGTATTTTATATCTGATCATTTGTCTGATGATGACTGACTAGTGTATTAAACTAGTGTATTAAAAAGTTATTTTAAGTTCAAGTGCCAAAAGTAGTCAGATTTCATTGATAAGGTCAAAATGACTGAAACAAATCCTACAACTAAGCAACTGTGATTTAAGCACACAATATCTGTAGGATCTTATCTTGAATAGGAGGTCATTTGTGTCCAGGATTGGGTTTTTCTTTTGTGTCTGTTTATAGAGCACAAAGATGGTCTTGTGTTTCTGTGTGTATGTTGGACAGCCTCGTGATGGTGGAGGGAATGTTGTCTTTAATGCATTGTGAGAGCGTAGAAATCTGATTCATGAATAGAAATTGAATTATTCAATTATACGTCTCTCTTTAGTTCCAAAGAAGCTTGTGCAGGAGTCGGTTTCCAGGCATCCATCGTTCCCGTCTCCTCCATCAGTGCCTCATGACCCCAACGTGGTGGGAGACAGTGCTCCTCCTGACGGGACCCCGTCTCTGACCTCCGACTCCGCTCCAGGTAAAAAAAAAAAAACAATGTGATCACTCAACAAAAACACCCTCAGAATCAGTTTCAACAGGCTAATTAATCATCTTTATCAGGGTAGTGATGGAAAAATATTTGATTTATATTTGATTTGTCACAGATGCTAACAGTTGTTTTGACTAGGTTACTAACATGTGGACCATGGTCCAGACTAAGAAACCGTCCCATGCGTGCCCAGACCTACAACTTAAAGGGCTGTTTTTTTTATTCCTGCTCCCGCTGGGTTTTTTTCCTCACCCAATCACTTCCCATTGTTTATTCACCCTTTGTTTACCTGTTTTCCACTCAAAACAGTTTTCCTCCCGACCTGACCATTACCACTGAATTAAGACAAGGGAGAAGAATGTAACACTCTCAATTGCTTAGTTTTTACATTTCGTGCAGATCCAGTTCAGTCTGAATGAACACGGTTTCATTTTCCACAGTGGTGCTGATTACAGAGTTTTATTTTTTTAATGGAAGAAATCATTCATTCATTCATTTTCTTGTCGGCTTAGTACCTTTATTAATCCGGGGTCGCCACAGCGGAATGAACCACCAACTTATCCAGCAAGTTTTTACGCAGCAGATGCCCTTCCAGCCGCAACCCATCTCTGGGAAACATCCATACACACATACACACACACTCACACACACACTCATACACTATGGACAATTTAGCCTACCCAATACACCTGTACCGCATGTCTTTGGACTGTGGGGGAAACCGGAGCACCCGGAGGAAACCCACACGAAGGCAGGGAAAACATGCAAACTCCACACAGCCAACTGAGCCAAGGTTTGAACCAGCGACCCAGCGACCTTCTTGCTGTGAGGCAACAGCACTACCTACTGCGCCACTGCCTCGCCATAGAAGAAATCAAGACTCCAAAACTGTGCACTAATTAGGATGTGTTGACATTTGTTATCTGCATATTTGGATGAGACTGTTAAAAATGGCACTTCTGTCAGACAGAAAATATAAGTGCCCCCCCCCCCC